CAGAGAAAAGTCCAGAAGAACGTTCACCAGAATATTCAGAGGTCCGTCCCATGACTAGAAATGAATGATATTCTTTCACTTTCTAAATTTTGCCAATTTTTAACATGAGAATGGATAGAGAAAATAGATAAATATGTCTGTTTACAAGTAAATCTTCCAAGGAGACTTTCCTAATTCTCCCCGCTAAATACAGCTAAAGCCCTGGGCATTGTATATAAAACAAACACTAGAAGACCCTGAAAGGTAGAGAGGGGGTGGCCGATCAGCCAGAAACCTTGGAACCCAAGGAATAACACAAGTTAAGTCCCCTGGTTTTGCTCTTCGCCTAAATATCCCAAATTTGAAGCTTCAGGACCCAGCCACCCAGAAATGACAATGGTCACGGACAAAAAAAAAAAGTACCCCAACAAAAGCCTGCTCCCTCAGACAAGGACCAGGAAAGGGGCATATGGGCAAGACTGTTAGTAACGGCTTTACTCTAGTCACTGAAGAAAAATACTGTGGCCATTTCCTACCAACACCAGCAGAGAGTGAGTAGGAAGCCTAGACTTGGTACCCTCACACCCTTCCTGGGGGGTCTCAAAGAAGGCCAAGTAGGGAGCTGGAACTTCCATCCAAGCTGGCTGGTAACAAGTCCCCCTGCCCATCATGGTACCAGTGGAGACAATGGAAAGAAGGTGGGCCTAAAAATGTACTTGAAAAAAAATATGTATGTGTGTGTGTGTGTGTGTGTATATATATATATATATACCTCAAGGCTTCCCAAATCTGGAAAAAGACATCAACCTAGAAATGTAAGGAGCTGAACAAACACCAAATAGGTTATTCTAAAGAAATTCCCACCCACAACACAATTTAACTTCTGAAAATCAAAGTCAAGAAAAAAAAAATCCTAGAATCAGCTAGGGCAGAAATAATACCTTTCTTATCTGAATGACAGCAGATTTCTCATCAGGAACCATGGACACCAGAAGCAAGTGACATAATACTTTTCAAGTGCTAAAAGAAAACTGTCAACTGTATATCCTACATCTAGTGAAACTAGCCTTCAGGAATAATGGAAAAATTAAGAATTTCTCAGATGAAGAGAAAATTAGTAAGTCTGTCTCTACTTAAAAGAATAGTTAAAGGAAATTCTTGGCTCAGCACCTGTGGCTCAAGCGGCTAACGGGCCAGCTATATACACCTGAGTTGGGGGGTTCGAATGATGGCTGCAACCAAAAAATAGCTGGGTGTTGTGGTGGGCACCTGTAGTCCTAGCTACTAGGGAGGCGGAGGCAGGAGAATCTCTTGAGCCTAGAAGTTATAGGTTGCTGTGAGCTATGATGCCACCGCACTTTACCCAGGGGGATAGCTTGAGGCTCTGTCTCAAAAAAAAAAGAAGAAATTCTTGGAATATGAAGGAAACAATAGAAGAAGAAACCTTGGAACATAGGAAGAAAACAGTAAGTCAGAACATGGGTAAATAAATAGACTCCCCTTTTCATTTTGAGTATTCTAAATAATGTGTGATAGCTGAAGCATAAATTCTAACACTCTTTGATGTTATTCTAAATGTATGTAGAGGAAGGCTTGGGCGCTTGTAGCTTAGTGGTTAGGGGGCCAGCCACATACCCCAAGGTTGGTAGAACCCCTCCTGGGCCTGCTATACAAAACAAAACATAAAATAAAATAAAATAAATGTATGTAGAGGAAATGTTTACAACAACTGTAATTATAAAAGGAGAAGACTGTGGGATGCAAATTTCTACACTTCACTCAAATCAATAAAATGGAACCACCAGCAGGTGTAGTAAGTTGTGTATATACAATGCAATACTCAGAATAACCACTAGAAAAGCTACACAAAGATATATACACACTCAACAACACACTAAGTAATCAAAATAAAATTTGACAAAATATTCTAGTAATCTACAGAAAAATAGGAAAAGAAAACAGAGAAATCAAAAGAACCAGAAAGACAGATTTAACAAACATTTGCACATGACAGAGCATATGTAAGGTGAACACACGCCCTAACCCAGCATTTTACCCAGTTTTTAAGACAGCCAATTCTTCTTCTCCCCCCACAGAAAGACAGATTCAAGCTATAACTTGCCAACAGTTACATTAAATACAGATGGCCAAAATATGTCAATTAATAGACGACAATCAACAAAGTGAGTTAAAAATCCAAGTATAGGCTATCTACAAGAAACTCACTTCAAATATGATATAGGCAGGATAACTATAAAAAAGGGAAAAATACATTATGCAATCATTAATCAAAAGAAAGAAGAGAAGCTATCAGATATATCAGAATATCAGATAGACTAGACTATGCAGCAAAAGAATCACCAGAGAAAGAGAGGAACATTACATCATAATACAAAGGCTAGCACATCAAGAAGGCACAGCAATCCCAAATACTCAAGTACCAAACAAGAGAGCTATAAACTATGTGAGGCAAAAACTGATACAACTAAAAGGGGAAATAAGGCCAGGCGCGGTGGCTCACGCCTGTAATCCCAGCACTCTGGGAGGCTGAGGTGGGTGGATTGACTGAACTTACAGGTTCAAGACCAGCCTAAGCGAGAATGAGACCCCCATCTCAAAAATTAGCCGGGTTTTGTTGCAGGTGCCTTTAGTCGCAGCTACTTGGGAGGCTGAGACAAGAGAATCACTTAAGCCCAAGTGTTTGAGGTTGCTGTGAGCTGTGATACCGGAACACTCTACTGAGAGTGACAAAGTGAGACTCTGTCTTGAAAAAATAACTAAAATAAAAAATAAAAGGAAAAATAGACATATCAACTTTTATATTTAGAGATTTCAACATTCCTCTCTCAAAAACTGACAGATCAAGCTCAGCACCTATAGCTTAAGCGGCTAAGGTGCCAGCCACATACACTAGAGGTGGCAGGTTCAAATCCAGCCTGGGTCTGCCAAACAACAATGATAACTACAACCAAAAAATAGCTGGGGCATTCTGGTGGGCACCTGTAGTCCCAGCTACTTGGGAAGCTGAGGCAAGAGAGTTGGCTTAAGCCCAGGAGTTGGAGGTTGCTGTGAGCTGTGATACCATGGCACTCTACCCAAGGTGAAAGCTTGAGGCTCTGTCTCAACAAAAACAAAACAAAACAAAACTGACAGATTAGTTAGACAGGAAAAGAAAAGCATGGATACAGAACTCAACAACCAATAGGACATTCATGGAACACTTTACCCAACAGTAGCAGAGTATACATTCCTTTCAAATGCTCAAATCAAAGTTCTAGAGGGAAAAAAGAAGCAAACCTTAAGAAACCTCATTAAAAGAACTGAAGGCATAGAGTACACTCTGTTCTTGATAATGGAATCAAACTAGATACCAATAATAGAAAGATAACAAAAAAGTTTCCAGGGCAGAGCCTGTGGCTCAGTGGGTAGGGCACTGGCCCCATATACCAAGGGTGGTGGGTTCAAACCCAGCCCCGGCCAAACTGTGACAAAAAAAAAAAAAAAAAAAAAAGGAGGGTGCCATAACCACTGCCCCATGAGAGCTGAGCCTTTTTTTAAGTAGGAGTTTAGAGTTTTGATTTGAGACCTTTTCTATTTTCCAATGTAAGCATTTTGGTGCTATAAATTTCTCTCTTAGCATTTCTATAGCTAAATACTAAAATTATATCAAAACCTGTGTTTTTATTTTATTCACATCAGTATATTTTGAAATTTCCATTTGGCCTTTCTCTTTCCCCTAAAGATCATGTAAGAATTGTGTTCATTTCCAAAGGTTTGAAAACTTTTTTTTGTAGAGACAGAGTCTCACTTTATCACCCTTGGTAGAGTGCTATGGTGTCACACAGCTCACAGCAACCTCCAGCTCCTGGGGTTAGGTGCTTGTCTTGCCTCAGCCTCCAGAGTAGCTGGGACTACAGGGACCCACCACAATGCCCTGCTATTTTTTTTTTTTTTTTTTTGTCTAGTTCAACAGTGTGCAGTAGATGCTTAAATGTATGTGCTGAGCATTAGGGTGCATGGGTGTACCCCAGCTTTGCCTGTGGAAGGCGGGCAACCTGGGTAACTCCTTCCCATTTCTAGCTCTCCCCACACCAAACTTATTAAAGCCACATCAAATGAACCGTGTGGAAAGCAAACTGTTCAGCTTCCTACATTCTGTTGAGACATGTGAACAGTGTGTCTAGTGTTCTGCAGTCTTCCTTGTGCAGAAGCGACTAGACAAAACAGGAATCACGCCTCCTGTTCCCATGGAGAGAGAGGATGCTGCCATAAGTAAGCATTATGCCCGCCAGTGGAAGGTGTTAGAGGGAAAACGAAGGGGATGTGGTCAAAGAGCCTGGCCAAAGGCAGCAACTGGGCTAGAGAGATGCGTAAGAACACTGCTGGAGCAGCTCCAGCCCCAACTCCCTAGAGCATCTGAGTAAGTAATCCTGGTATGGAAACACCCATGGGGAACATGCCAAAGAAATTCCTTAACAACCCACTGCATGGTTCTGTGATGGTACTAAAATTACCTGTGATTCCTTCCTTCCATTTGCTAACATTTCTGAAATAGTAAATGCAATGATTTTTATTTTTGAAACAAGGTCTCACTCTGTTGCTCAGGCTGGAGTGCAGTGGCATCATCAGCCTGCAGTCTTGAACTCCTGGGCTCAAGCAATCCTCTTGCCCCATCCTCCTGAGTACCTTGGTCTATAGGCATGTGCTACCATGCCTGGATGATTAAAAAAAATTTTTTTTTTTTGAGAGAGTCTCACTTTGTGGCTCTTGATAGATTGCCATGGCATCATAGCTCACAGCAACCTCAAACTCTTTGGGCTCAAGCAATTCCCTTGCATCAGCCTACCAGGTAGCTGGGACTATAAGGACCCACCACAATTCCTGGCTATTTTTAGAGATGAGGTCTCCCTCTACTCAGGCTGGTTTTGAACCTGTAAGCTCAGGTTATCCACCCACTTTGGCCTCCCAGAGTGCCAGGAGTACAGGCATGAGCCAATACACCAGCCTAAAATAATTTTTTTGTAGAGATGACAGCTTACTATGTTGCCTATACTAGTTTACTTTTTGTTTTGTTTGGAGACAGAGTCTCATTCTGTTACCCTAGAGTGCCCTTGCATCAGCCTAGTTCAAAGCAACCTTACCCCCGGGGTGTAAGCAATTTCTTGCGTCAGCTTCCCAAGTAGCTGGAAGTATAGGTGCCTGCCAAGAAGCCCAGCTAATTTTTCTATTTTTAGTAGAGTTGGGTGTCGCTCTTCCTAAGGCTGGTCTCAAACTCCTGAGCTCAGGCAAGCCACTTACCTTGGCCTTTCAGAGTGTTAGAATTATTGTGTGAGCGGCTGTACCCAGCTTCCTAGGCTGGTCTTGAACTCCTGGGCTCAAGTGATCCTCCCACGAATGCCTCCCAAAGTGCTGGGATTATAGGTGTGAGCTACCACACTCGACCATGATGTGATGATTATTAAACTTAAAAATATCCTGTGAAATAACTGAGCAGATAGATTTCCCTTTTTTGTAGGAAGGGAACTTAGAAATACTGAGAGGTCAATGATAGGGACTCGAGGGCCTCTGTTTTCTGCCATCACTGTCTGCACAAAGCTTCCTTTTCTTTCTTTTTTTTTTTTCAACAAATCTTCTTAATGGTGGCCTGACGGTCAGCCCAGAGAGAGCTGGGACCGTGAGGGCAGGAGGAGTGAGGGGGTGTCTGGTAAACTCATGTCCGGCCTCTCTTAGCTTTACTGTGTGTGGCTGAACATCCTGCGCAGTAGTCAGCAAGCTGGCTGGGTTCTGGGAAAACTGCCCTGTAGCTAACAGAAAGGTAAACATGGGATTTTCACTCACCGGGGGCAGCTGGAGAGTGGCCACCTGCTGTGCATCCCTCACAGTCTCTTCCTGCAGAAGGAAAGCATCTTGCAGAACTGAAAGAGATCAGAAAAGAGTGTCCCCAAGCTAGCCAGGCCTGGGGCTGACACCTTCTGAGCCCCCTGGGGCTTTTGTCCACTTCAGTTTTGGTGAGGGAAGAAAACCACAGGACAGGCCCCAGCAGGGAGCTGCTTTACAGTGCTTTTTTTTAAAACGCAGGGTTTTTATTCTTACCTGGAAAATGAGGATTACACAAAATGACGCACATGAAAAGCACTCTGCAGACCACAAAAACTTCTCTTTTTTTTCAGCTACAACAATACAGACTGTAACAGAAAATGCCAAGGTTCAAGTTGGTACTGCCAATATTTAGTTATTTGACCTCTGGCAAATCCTGGGACCTCAGATTTGTCATCTAAAATACAGGGGAAAAGAAAGTTAAAACTTTACAGAGTTGAGATATCAGGAAGGCTTCTTGGAAATAATGATCACTATGGAACTCAAGTGTCATATAAATGTATTCATACATTTATAAGTTTATAAACTGCAGAGAGCCTTTTTTTTTTTTTTTT